CCATCCATCCATCCATCCATCCATCCATCCATCCATCCATCCATCCATCCATCCATCCATCCATCCATCCATCCATCCATCCATCCATCCATCCATCCATCCATCCATCCATCCATCCATCCATCCATCCATCCATCCATCCATCCATCCATCCATCTACAGACGTGTTAGCCTCCTCGTGGTCTTTGACTAACAGTAGCACAATTTCTGCCAGCACCCTTTTTGTCAACAGCACCATTGGTGGTTGTTGTTAACCCAGGCCTCAACCGATCCAGTATGGTGTAGATGTAGATAGTTATGGCCGACGTATTTTACATTAGATGCTCTTTCTGACACTCTCCATTTTACCTGGGCTTGGGACTGGTTGGACATTATTCTTTGTGCTGAGTTCAAACATCACAAATCTTGCAGAAAGTTTTGCAGCTCTGCTGAGCAGATGTAATTTGAACACATGATCAAATATAGCCTGTTTTCTTAGTTAATTTAGATGACTGGATGAATCTAAATATAAATATCATTACTGTCATTTTATGCAACAGATTGAATAGATTATAAAATGAAAAGCACAACAGCACTGACCCTAAAAGTAAAATAAATAAATCCATTTTTTTGTAAATTCATATCATACTAATGATTACTGTGACCATAATGTGCTCCAGAATAATATGACATATACTGTAATCTGTAAATTGGGTACTTGTAATCTCAAAATCAAAAGTGTGACAAACCACAAGATGGCAGTAACACATCAAACTGAATTACAGCAATTTAGCTGTTGGTCCAAATTCTGTGAGAGAAAATAACTACAGATCTTAAATTAACATGAGTCTGAAAGTGAGTCTGAGAAAATTACCTGCCTTTATTTTTACTCATCTGCCACTCATTTAGTCATTAAAGAAAAAACTATGCGTTTGTGCATCAAATAAGGTTTAAAACTAAATCTTAATTGTAGCTTTGAAACCAGGTGATTAACTGAGAAGGTTGCAGCTCTTGTGTGGCTGCAGCCTTTCCTTCATTTTGGTGCCTGGGGATGAATAGTAATGGGATGATATACGTGTGTAGAATTTATATGTGCCACATTGTTAAATGTCAGGTGCAAAGATTTGTCCTTCAGATGCAGAATATTCATGAAAAAGCCCCAAATATTGTATAATATTATGCACATTTTAGCCCCAATAATTCATTCATTTGAGCTCATCTTTCTGATTTGAGCTACATGTTTTATTTAAATGAAAAACCATTAAGTTATGAGTGCACATCTACCTTGATTTGATGGAAGTGATCAGTTATAAAAGCATCCACATTTGCGCTCTGAGACCCTTCAATTTTTTTTTTTTACCACTCAGTGGATTCCCACAAAATAAAACAATAAAAATAATCTCATATATTAATAGCACATCTTGCTGCTTTTGCTTTAAGTAGGCTTCCACTCTTTAAAAATCTTCCTTGGCCGCCCCCTCACCAGTGAGCTCCATTTGGAGAAGCGGAAGGGAGATTCCTCAGCTCTTCCAGTCATACGCCCCCTCCTCCCCCTGCTGATGGCACAGTTACGCAGCACCATAATAAATGGAGACGTGACTCTCCGGGGCGAATCCCTGCCGACGTCACTCTGTCCTGTATAAATAGGCTGAGCAGAGAGTCGAGCCAGACACAAGCAAACGCGCCTTTCTGACTGCGGGAACTTTTCTAAGCAAAGGATTAACAGGACAGCCTTCGTTGGATTTAATCACCAGCGCAGAGTAAGTCATATGGGAGATTGTAATCTATTATATGAGATTAGATACATTTGTGATTAGATTTATCCACATTGGCACGTTTCCTTTCTGTGAACTGAGCCAAAGCTCGCGTATTTACGCACGGCACGTCTATCCACAGCTCCCAACGCATCACTAAGATGACTTTGAATAAGGATGACAAACTGCGGAGCATGGACAAGAGGAGAGGGAGCGTGCCCTTCCCCATGAATCTGCCCAACATGCACAGGAGAAGCATGCCGGTGGACGACCGGGACCTGCGCGCCACCACGCCGCAGACCGGACAGACCGACGAGCTGTCCAACCTGCTGCGCTGCGCGTCCTACTCCCCCAGCGAGCAGCACCGGGGCAGCTGCGCCTCGGACTCCTCAGACTCTGTCATCTCCACCGGCAGCGAGGCGGACTCCCAGGTGTACAAGGTGGTTCTGCTCGGGGAGCACGGGGTCGGGAAGTCCAGCCTGGCGCGCGTCTTTGGAGGAGTGGAGGACGGCGGTCACGACTGCGATGAAGCAGGTGAAGATGAGGATGAGTCATCAACACACGCTCACACAGACACTCACTGGACATGTATGGTGTGTTCATCCAGATCCTGCTTTGTGGATTCAAAATAGGAAAAATCATTTTACTGTTTTTTATTTTTTTATTTATTTCAGATAATAAATGATCCAATCATTAAAAACCATATTAAATTGAAACTATTCAATCTTTTACATTGTGACACATCTTTGTCTAAATAGCATAACATCCACATGAAGCCTTGACATTTGATCAGAGATTTGCCAAATTAAAAACATTACTTTTGCACCAAATGATTCACACCCATGACTGTCACTGTTTCCATCCACATTGGGGCACAAGCCTCGGAGGCCCAGTGGTCAGAAACAAATCAAATAATATATTCTGAAGGGAAAATAAATGCTCTAGTGTTGTTTAATGATGAGACTTTACATTAAAACCAAATGTTCAGAGAGATGAAAGCAGTAACTCACACTGACAACACAAAAGAATACAGATAAGAGGAACCCTGCTGCCAGTGTGTAACACAATCTTTATTTGGCTCCGCTCAGGAAACACGTATGACAGATCTATTGTTGTGGACGAAGAGGAGGCCTTCATTCTCTTGTACGACATTTGGGAACAGGTGAGAGTTCTTTATTATTAATGCAGTGTTTTCCCATTAATGGATGCTGTGTTTGCAAAGGATGAGATGAGCTGCTCATTAATTTGATGTCTGCTGTTCTTTCCTGAAGGATAACAGCCAGTGGCTGAAGGAGCAGTGCATGAGGATGGGAGACGCTTACATCATTGTGTATTCAGTGACTGACAAATCGAGCTTTGAGAAGGCATCAGAGCTCCGCATCCAGCTGCGTCGAGCCAGGCAGTCAGAAAACATTCCCATCATCCTCGTGGGCAACAAAAGTGACCTGGTGCGGTCCAGAGAGGTGTCTGTTGATGGTAAGTTAACACATTAATCAGTTAGGTGATGATGTAAATGAAATTAATCTAATAAAAGACCCCTAAAGAGTTCCCTCTAACCTTCCTTTCTCCATGTTTGTTGGATTGCAGAAGGAAGCGCGTGTGCCGTGGTGTTCGACTGCAAGTTCATCGAGACGTCCGCCTCCCTTCACCACAACGTGCAGGACCTTTTCGAAGGCATCGTCAGACAGATCCGCCTGCGGAAGGACAGCAAAGAGGAGAACGCTCGACGCATGGCCAGCTGCAGGCGCAGGGAGAGCATCAGCAAGAAGGCCAAACGTTTCCTGGGCCGCATGGTCGCACGCAAAAACAAGAAGATGGCTTTCAGGCAGAAGTCCAAGTCCTGTCACGACCTCACTGTTCTCTGAGCAACATGTGGACTGCTGTTTTTATTTTCCTTTGGCCTCTGAAGACCAGATCCTGTGTGTGTTTTAACACTGATTCTAAAGGACTAATAGAATTGTACAGAATAGATTTTTTTAGACACAAACCAAAAGCAAAGACAGGATGTAACTAAGGTCACATCATCATGATGATGATGATGTACTCAGCAAGGATTTGATTTTATCTTCTGCCTTAAAAGTTTTTGCCATCACATGATTCTTTTTGTCTAAAATATTTAATATCTTGTTTCGGATGAGCTGCCTTCCTGTTGTGTTGTGGTCCTTTGGTTGAAGTGCTTGATGTATATACAGCGCATAATGCCGAAGGCGACGTACATCTCATTGCTCTCTAAGGTCACAGGTCTAAACTCATTTTTACTTGAAACGTGGTGCGCTGGTTCGTGCCTTGGCCAAGTTACGAAAAACTACTCAAACCTTAGGCGAAACCTCTATTATTCTCTGTTTCATAGCACTGAATTCAGGTTGTGAATGTAAGAGTAAAGCAATAAGTTATAAAAGTCTTGTGAACTTTGGCATTGTTTGAAAACTCTTTGTTTACATTGAATTTTCTTTTTTTTTAATGAATAAAACCTCAAATGAAATGCGGTGGTTTTTCTTTGCCATTCTTTCTCCAACAACATGATCGACGGACTGAATCTGAGAGGAAACGGTGGTGAAACGCATCTTTAGGAAGAATTGTTCGACACTACCAGTGGAATGGAACCGCACTGCTCATTTGGGTTTTAAGTGGAAAGGAAATGAGGTAGTTAAGCATGTCTCCTCTCAAAGTGTTAAACATTAATCCACCAAAAGCGTACAGGAACGCAATTTTCCACCCAATTCAAACTTCCCTCACCTCTCACAGGCAGCACACGCATCATTTTGAGAAGGTAAGATCGAAAGCTTTGGTTGATTTTGTACAAAACCTAACAAGTTTTGCTTATCTGCTAGCTCGTTCTTCTTATAATATTTGAAAATGTTGTGAATAATATCCCGTACGTGACCCTGGCAGACGGTAAAAAGACAAGTGGGGGATTTATTACGAGTCAATTTGATTTTAACAGAGAAGTTATACATCAAACTTGAGCTTGCCTTTGTTGGTTCTCTGTGCCAACTTTGAGATGTTGCTTAAAGATTTCATGACGGTGAATCAGTAACTGGACAGATTTTGTGACGTTTGTTGGTTTAAAACACAGTGACTGTGTGTGTGTTTGCAGGGAAACATGGCTGAGAGAAAAAGTGCACCGGTGCTCATCACAGCACTCACAGTAGGCGTTCCGTCGGTCATTTGAGTCAAATGTTCATAAGTATAGCACTGAAAAAATAAAACGCTACTGATTTTGTTTTACAGTTGTCGTCGCTTTGCACTTTCATGCCATGCTCTGGGGTGAACGTTAAAATCGGCGTTCCTGAAAACTACGATGGTATTTTCCCGTGGTACCTAACCAAGGTAAGAAGCTTCACTTTACTTAAAGTGAACAAACAATGCAGTTTATTCATTTATTGGCAACTAAGGAATTGTGTAATTAAATGGAGGTGAAACAACACCAGTGTTTCTGACGTGTGTTTCAAGAAAGTCGCCACAGCGAAGCAACGTTATCCAAAACAACAAATGGCAACAACTCAGCCAAATTTAAAGATATTGAGTTACATTTTTTTATTTAACCTTTATTTATACAGGTTAATCCCATTGAGCCTCGAGGACTCATTTACAAGACAGACCTGGTTTAACAAAGAGTGATAACAACAGTAGACAATCATAAAGGGTGTGTACAAATAGATAATAACAAGTGAAAATAAAATGGTATTAAAAAAAATGTAACAAAAAACAGCTAGGTTGTAGGACGGTGTAGAAAACTATAAACAGGAACGTTTGATTGTTTTTTTTTTCGCAGGAATTTAACAGATGTTTGAAGCCTCTTAGAGGTCAAGGTCAAGAGCTTCAGTTTTTTTTGCAAGATATTCCAGAAAACAGGAGCGGAGTAGGAGAAGTTCCTTTTGCCTAGTTCAGTCCTCACTGAGGGAACACTGCGGGTAATAATGTCCTGAGAGCGCACGCTGTAGCTGCACTCACGCAGAGACATGTAGGAGGAGATGTATGAAGGCAGCAGACCAAGAAGTGATATAAAGATGAAAATGTACCAGTGAGAGAGTCTGCGTGAAGATAATGATGACCAAAAAAGTCCATGTTCAATAATCCAGGTATACAATCCAACAATTTTCCGTCAGGTCATCTGGACAGTTTCTTGTTTTTTGCTGAAACGTTTCACCTTCCATCCGGAAGGCTTCATCAGTCAAGGAAACACACAACACAAAACTGATTCTTTCCCCAAACAGCTTACTCCAAAGTGGAACAAACCACATTTTTTTCAGCAAAAATCAAGAAACTGTCCAGATGACCTGACGGAAACTTGTTGGATTGTATACCTGGATTATTGAGCATGGACTTTTTTGGTTTTGAACCAGTTTGACATGACTGTCAACGAGGAAGAGGGCCGGCTCCAGAGGAAAGGGCGTGCCAAAGACACCATCTTAGCACCAACATAACTGGTTTGTTTCACTTTGGTTTGGGGGAAGAATCAGTTTTGTGTTGTTTGTTTCCTTGACTGATGAAGCCTTCTGGATGGAGGTGAAATGTTTCAGCAAAAAACAAGAAACTGTCCAGATGACCTGACTGAAAATGGTTGGGTTAATGATGACCAGTTAACCAGTGAATACAGGGTGCAGTGATGGTAGTTGCAGCCAGTTATGAATCTTAGTGCACCATGATAGACAGCATCCAACATCTGCAGGGTGCTTGTAGGAGCGTTCATGTAAATAATGTCACCGTAGTCAATGCAGGGAAGGAAAGTCTCAGTTACAAGTTGTTTCCTAGCATTCAGAGTTAAACAGGATCTGTTTCTGAAAAAGAAACCCAGTTTAACTTTCAGTTTCCTTAAGTTTTCCACGTGGAGCTTAAAAGAGAGATGCAAATCGACCAAAATACACAAATATTTATAAGAATCGACAAACTCAATATAGACACCAATCGAAGATAAAATCGAAAAAAGAACTGCTGCGACCGACTTCCTGTTTGAAAACAGTTTTTTCAAATGTGTTGTGGTAGTAGTTGAGAGTCTTTGCCAACACATATTTTGAGCACTAACTAATGACATACGATGTGCTTCTACAGATTTTAGTGAAATGCTCAGAAAGTACGTTTTTATCCAAAACATTAACACTTTAGCTTAATGAATGTTACAGATATTGAGCTAAAACCCGGGGTGGTAGTAGCTGATAGTCTTTCACAACAAATATGTCAAAATTTATTGTGAGATTTTACAATAACACTTGAGATTGTGTACAAGGGTATTTTTAAGGTTTCATCATCATCAGCAGCATAAACTTTATTTATAACGCTCTTTAACACCAGCCACAAGTGCTGAACATCAGTAACAAATAAGATAAAAGAAAGCACAAAAATAAAGTGACAAAGCTTAGCACAAAAGAGTGAATTAAAAACTCAATTTAAAACACAATAAAACAACGAGTTAAACAGATAACATCAGTGCCACTAAAAATGTAATAAAATCAAGTCTCAGTCTCAGAGAAAAATACCTAAATAACTAATTTTTTTCAGCATAAAATAATCTTAGTCTAAAATTTGAGCATATGTGTGTGTGTGGGTGTGTGTGTGTGTGTGTGTGTGTGTGTGTGTGTGGGGGGGGGGGGGTATGCATTCCTTCAAGAAATGCAATTGCTTCAATTATTTCAGGCTTTATAGATACTATTGATCACACAAAAAATGTGAAATAAAATAGCGGCTTTGAAAATCCAGGCATTTTTACTTTTTTTTAATAGGAAATGTACTTGAACATAAATGCATTAATGCATAAGTAATAAAGTAATAAATGTCCACAATTCTGTTGATGTGATTTTTTTTCCTTTAAGCATCGGGGAAATATAAAGTCCTTAAGCATCGTCTTGACCGAATCAGCATCTTTCCTCAAAAATCAAACCTGTAAAAATGGTAAAAAACATAAAATAAAAATTCTGTCTGACATCATTTTATGATTGAAATGTCGATAAAAAAAAAAAGACCATTGTTGCTTTGCAAGCAGAAAATGACGGCGGATAAAGCCAAAACATCATCTGTGTCCTTTTATTTTTTACCCTTTTATTCTGCACTCAAGGGTGGCGATGTACGAACATGCTGCCGTCATCCGTACTCTGTAATTGGTGTTTTCACTGTGCTTTTCTGTCGTCTGACCGACTCGAGTCTGCTTTTAGTCCAGAAGGGAGGCAGGTGGGTTTTTTATTCATGTGTCACTCAGACGTCGTCTGGATTGCTCACGATTGTACATCTTTCTAATTGTCTTCATTGGTGATGTCATTACGCCTCGTATAAAATCGAATCACATGCCCCATCTTTTTGTCAAACTGAGTGTCATCAACATGACGTGCTCGTGGTCTGTTTGGAGGATAATAAGCTCTTTGTGTTATAAATTAAGCAGAAGCGATAATTGCTTCAGGTTTGTTTCAAGGTGAAACCTTTTCATGCAACTCTGTTGGTCACAGAGCAACCCATTTTTTAGTTCTCCTATTTGTATGTTATTAATGATTCATTTTTTTAAATATGCCAGTGCTAATGGTATTACTAATGGGTTTTAACTCATCGTGAAGGCTGCTTTTGGATAAACACCTCTGGCTGATCTATTTTTGCTTTAACAAAACCTATACCTGCTTTGTCATGGCAACACAATAAAGAACAGAGTGGGCAAGATGCAGGAGAGACCCCAGAGAAGGTCGCCAGTTCATTACAGCCTCATCGCAGGCAGACTCACGCTTTTGTTTTCAGTATTTTACACCTTTTGTGAACCAAACGTGTTCTTTTTTTATAGGTAGAAAACAAGATCGTCTAGAAACTCAAGATCATTCACAAGGAAAACACTTAAACTCCACAGAGAAACCGCACTGTAAACAATTCATTGTGAAAACTACATTAACCTATTTTCCATTGCACAAAAACATTCATGTAAAACAAGCGGTGCGTCGATGTCTCCCATCATCGAGGGATTTGAATAGTAATTGTAGTTTTTGAGGTGTGTGGTTTTCTGGACTGGATTTGAAGAAGGAATCCAAGTAGACCTTAATGTTATACTAAAGGAAGAATGAGTTACATTGTGGAGAAGAACAGAGTTTTTTTTTTTTGTTCCAGGTGAGAGTGACAGATGACAAATCAAAGCAAGCAAAGGGAGTGATTTTATCCACAACCACCAGCAGAGCCACGGGGTAGCCAGTGGTGGCCTAGACCACCTTAGATTAATCTTCATTCATTTGAGGAAACTATACTTTTAGGCAATATAAAAATTAGAAGACATAGTTTCCTCAAATGATCAACATGGCTGTTTTCTTTATGTATGGTGGTGACCATTTTTGTAAGGTTTGGCTCTATACCCAGATAGTATGAGACTGAGAACAATGACTTCAGGGCCAGGAGAAAGTTTAACAGTGTTTATTTACAGAAGTGTGTAGGATCTGTAGACCTGGACTGGAACCCCAGAGAGTTGGGAACAGCATTAGTAGATGCCCCTACAGGGGGATATTGGTCTTGATGTTCAGAGTCCTTACTATGAAGACAGTGTCTTCGCATGGACGAAATCCAAAGGGTTCAAAAAGGTCTCACAAATGGGCAAGTGGTGGAAGGCAGGGGACAGCTGGAGAGATCAATAGGAGGTGCAGGAGGTACACAGGGAGGTCCAAGGCTCAGGAGGATCACAGGAGTCAAGCTAGAACAAGTAGATACATTCAAGATTAGTCTTTCACTGCACACTGGGCGCAAGGTAAAGGTCGGGAACTCAACTACTGAACGGCAGATAATGCACCAGCGTCAGATTGCAGTCATCAACTGCCTTAAGTACTCCTTGCAGCTCATAAAGGGAACGATCCTCAGGTGTGGATCTTTTGGCGCCCTTAAATTATCCGTAACAATCCTGTGAAATGTATGAACATATATCCCAAATTATTACAACGTCTGGGCACAAACACCAGTTGTTTATATATCTGCCGGGGCTGCTGTTAGTAGAGGAACTGTAGGTGATTAATGAGTGAACTCATACAGAGAGCTGAGAAAGAAAGGTTGCTTTCAAAATTTGGGTTGCAACGTCAAAAGCCAAAAGAGACACCACTATATATATAAATTTTTCATTCAACCTTTATACAGGTTACTCTCATTGAGTGGCAAGGACTCATTTACAAGAGAGACCTGTTTATATATTGTATATATATATCAAGGTTCAAGGTGACTTTACGGACATTTGCATCACATGTGGTACATGAGCTGGAATGAAATTGTGTACTCAAGGTCACAGTTACACCCAAAAATAGAACAAATATAACGTATAAAAAGAAACAGTACACAAGGATCTAAGATATGTGCTTTTTTTTAGCTGCTCCCTTCTTCATGGGTCA